GGACGAGGCTGTGTTCCATCTCTTCTAGACACTCCGTTTATTTCTGTTGTTTCTCCTTTGCTCGTTGTTTCCATATCTTTGCCTATGTATATCACACCGTCATTTAAACTCCATCTGAGATTTCACTTTTCCACAATGCCTTGTTTTGCTAGCTCTAGTTTATAGTGGCTACCTATAATAATTTATTTTTATGCTAGAAATTTTGTTTGTTATATAAAAGGATCACAAAATTTAACTCATACTACAACTTGTATATGAAGGTAAAATAAAATTTTAAAATTTGATTATAAGAAAAACAGTATTTTTCATGAGTAATTACTCACTGATTTTTTTTGGGGGGGGGGGATTAACTAATATCTAATCTAAATTAAAGTTTGGTCCAGTCCTATTATGTAAATAGTCTCTTAAGTAATGGTCTAGCTCTCCTGCATAAAAATAGTCATTGTATTAGATAATCTCTCTGGCTTGGCTTCTCATCTTCACTTGTCCACATGTTTTACACATCCCCGTGGTTTTAGGAGGGGAAGGGGAACCTGTTTAACCTGTTTTTGTTATGGTCTGTAATGGGTGCTAGTTGTCATCTGCTGGCCTTGGCAATTGCCTCCTTCCTCTTTTCCTCTCGCTCCTCCTCTCCCTCCCCTCCCCCTCAGTCAGTCCCCCTCCTGCTGTCCCTCCTCCTGCCCCTCCTGCTTCCCTCCCTCCCCTCCTCCCTCTGCTCCTCCCCCTCCAATCCTCCCCCTCTCCTCCTCTTCTGTGCTTCCCAGGCTGGCTAACCCCCTCTGACTGACACTTCTTCTTTAGATATATTAATTACCTCTATCAGGTTAGAGTCAAGTCTTGCTGATCTAGGATCTATTCTTTCCTTATTAGCTCCCTCTAATCAATTCTACAGTTTAACTCTTGGATAACGGTTTTGTTTCCTTCACTGCAGTCCTACTGCAATGCCAATAACGACGCTCTGTTTCAATGAGTTTCATGAATGTAGGTGCTGTATCTCCAGGGGCAGGTACTTGGTACCAGTGCAGAGCAATGGGCAGAGGCCCGACGAGGGAAGAAGGGCAAGTGAATTCAACAATAACAACAACAACAACAACAAAGAAACACACACAGAGCACAGTGGTTTTGAGATAGTTAAAGAAAGGGCAAATAATTCTTCACATTGAAATGGCTCCTGAAGACATGGATAATGATTAATGTTTCTATGAACACTTTGAATCACCTGGAAAAATTAAAAGCATTTAGTTTCCCTTGTTTCAAAAAGAAGGAGGCTATGTAATGCATTTGAAGATTTATATCCTAGATGGTTAAAATAGGGCAAAATTTGGCACCTATGTATTATAATTGTAACTATCTATCTGGAAAACATACCTGGGTGAAAGAGTGATCAGAATAAATGAGATGGTCCAGAACATGTAGCACTGAAGCTTCCTAAATCAACTTGGCTATTTAAGATACAAGAATGCCTAGATTGTCCTGAGCCAGGGCATGGGGTCCAGCTGAGCCAGACTAGGCAGCTTAGTGTCGACACTAGAGAATGTGAAGTAAATGAACACATTGAATGCAAGTAGCCCATGCCCTCAGCTCACTAGAAAGCAGCGTCATATATGGAGTGCTTGTTACTGGGGAGTCACTCTTGACTCTTTTATTCCCTAGCTGTGTGTCTTTGGGCTGGTGGCTAAAGACTTTCTAGGTCACAGTTTTTATTTATAAAACACGGGTAATGATAATCCTTTTTAGGTCACAGTTTTTATTTATAAAACACAGGTAATGATAATCCTTTTTAGGTCACAGTTTTTATTTATAAAACAAGGGTAATGATAATCCTTTCTAGGTCACAGTTTTTATTTATAAAACACGGGTAATGATAATCCTTTTTAGGTCACAGTTTTTATTTATAAAACAAGGGTAATGATAATCGTGACCTACCTGGATCAAAGGGTGGTAGGGAAAAGAGAATGTCAGTAATAATCCCTGACAAACTAGAGAGCGTTTTCCAGATATAAGGCTGTCTTAATTAGGGATTATCCTGTGCTAGGAACAGAAACCCACTCAGATTAGCTCAAGACAAATGGGATGCACTACACGGATGTGTGGGTGTTAATGGCACTTAAGCATAAGCAGGCCTGGAGGGCCTGGAGCCAGGAATCAGAAAGTGAGGACCACAGTTAGTTACTCCTATTAGAACGCACGGTTTACCATCATTCCTCTTCCCTTCTCCTCTAATTCATTCTTCTCTGCTGTGGGAACTGGTTTGCTTTGCTTCCACATGCATCTCATAAAAGAAATGGTCAGCCCAGCCCCAGATTAATGTAAGTTCTCAGCTCCAGTTCTTTTGTTGCAATTCCAAATTCCTGGGAAAGACTGACTTGGTGTGGATCAGATGTCTTCCTCTGGATAGTCAGCTGTGGCCAAGGACTCTGGTCACACGGACAAACCTGGTTACCTTTTCAGCAAGGACTACGTCTCTGCTGACATCCTAAGCTGTCTTCTGTTAACTCTTGTTTGTTTTGTGAAACTTCATTGGTTTATGGAGCTTAAGGCGTCAGCCAGTACCTTCAGTCCCTCGGGGACACTTGCCACGTCAGTGAGCCTAATGCCAGGGAAGCTGCTTGCACTCTCCTGTTATGCACTTTTCTTTGGTTTCAAAGAGTCACATATAGAAAATACTGGCCATGGCTGGGGGAAGAGGAGATGGTATAATTTTACAACTGATGATCTTTCCTATGGCCAGATGAAGGATAAAGTCCTCATTTCAACAGTGGGAAGTTGTCCAACTTCAATCTTCTTCTTTTTGACTCGCTTCTGTAGGTGTGACCTGGGTTAAGGTTGAATTTTGCTAACACAACAAAAATGTGGACACAGTATAGGATTTTAGAATGTTTCACAACAAAATTATACAACTAATCCCAGAGGAAAGTTTGTTAATTATATTCTATTTATACCCTACCTACTTCCCAAAAGGAAGTTTATAAAGGCCAAAGCATAAACACAGTAAAATGCAAAAGTCAAGTAGTAAAAAGGGGGAGAAATGAAATAAATTATATTTGAAAATCCTGGCTGATAATTTATTAATAACTATTTGTGGAAAAAGTAAAGCTAGATTTCTACCTCACACTGTTCATCTAAATAAATTTTAGATATAACAAAGAGTCAAACATGCTTGCTAATCTATAAAGGAATTAGAAAAATACATTTAAGCATTTATCTGTTCTCAGAGCAGACTGAGAAAAACATTTCTAAGCCCATTAATGAAGAAAGAAACCTTGAAAGGGAAAATTAATAGAGCTGACTACCTAAAAATTTAAAACTTCCTGACTTCACAGAGTACCAAAACCAAAATTAATAGGGAAAAACATTTCCAACACAAATGGCAAAAAGTTGATAACTTCACTATGAAGTTTAATAGTTTTATCTGCTTTAAAAAAAAGACAAACATTCCAATAGATAAATGAATAAAGGACATAAAACAAATTTTTTTTTTCCTTTTTGTCTTTTTTCATGACCGGTAAGGGGATCGCAACCCTCGGTGTCGCGCCCGCACCACGCTCAACCAGTGAGCGGACCGGTCTCTATATGGGATCCAAACCCTCGGCGGGAGCACCACCACACTCCCAAGCGCCGCACTCTACCGAGTGCGCCACCAGGCCGGCCCAAAACAAGAAATTTTTGATTAATTGATACAAAAAGCAAATACACAGGAAAAGATATTAAACCTAAATAATAAAAAGGAAATGAAAATGAATATAATGAAATTTTATTTTCTACTTCTGATTGGAGAAAAATTTAGAAAATTATAGTATCCAAACTGGGAAGAGGTATTAAGAAAGAGGAACTTACGTAATCTAAAGTTAATAATACCTTTCAGGAAGGCAATTTGGCAATATTTTGAATAGTTTATAAAACATGCATACACTTTGACTCAGAAATTTTATTTCCAGAAACTAGTCCTTGGAAAACAATCAAGACTTGTGTAAAGATTTAGATATAAGAATCTTTGTCATTTATTCTTTTTTTTGAATAGAAACCATTTCCCAAAGTTTTTACAGTGAACATTTATTACTTTCATAATAAGAAAAAAATGTAAACTAATATATTGCCTTTTCTGTATCTGTTTTCTTAAATTAGGAAGTTTGGGTACCAAAAGTAGATTTTTGATGAGTAAAGTAACATTTTTGTTATTCAGCATCTTGCTTTGGAAATGTCTGGAAGGAGGAATCAGTAATTTAGTAAAAACACCCCTGAGTCATCAATACTTGTACAAGCAGTTTTTACTGTTATTATGAGAGTGCCGTAGGGCATTTACTTAGAATTCACTTTTGTTGTAGACAGAATTTGAACAAGGTACATTGTCTGCTTTTATTCTACAGCCAGTGGAAGGCAGGTACTTGGTACCAGTGCAGAGCAATGGGCAGAGGCCCGACGAGGGAAGAAGGGCAAGTGAATTCAACAACAACAGGAATTCAACAATAACAACAACAACAACAACAAAGAAACACACACAGAGCACAGTGGTTTTGAGATAGTTAAAGAAAGGGCAAATAATTCTTCACATTGAAATGGCTCCTGAAGACATGGATAATGATTAATGTTTCTATGAACACTTTGAATCACCTGGAAAAATTAAAAGCATTTAGTTTCCCTTGTTTCAAAAAGAAGGAGGCTATGTAATGCATTTGAAGATTTATATCCTAGATGGTTAAAATAGGGCAAAATTTGGCACCTATGTATTATAATTGTAACTATCTATCTGGAAAACATACCTGGGTGAAAGAGTGATCAGAATAAATGAGATGGTCCCCCTCAATTTTTGCAGAGATCTCAGTGGAATTCCACAGCTTTGAATATAAAAAAAGAAAATAAAAAAACAACAAAGGAATGAGGTGACACCCAGGAGGGAGCAAGTGGGGTCTGGTCTCATGGGATTCTGGTGAACTTGCTCAGCCTTCCATTGGCCCCTCTCACTGGGTGACGCACATGTGGCCCTTTCTCTCTGCCTCCAGGACTGCCCTCCGGACGCGGAAGACTTCAGAGCCCAGCAGTGCTCAGCCTACAATGATGTCCAGTATCAGGGACATTATTATGAATGGCTTCCACAGTATAATGACTCTGCTGCTCCCTGCGCACTCAAGTGTCACGCGCGGGGACAAAACTTGGTAGTGGAGCTGGCACCCAAGGTGCTAGATGGAACTCGTTGCAATGCTGACTCCCTAGACATGTGTATCAGTGGCATCTGCCAGGTAAGCCACACCTGCCAACCATGCCTCTGGTTCAGGGATGTGCCACACCCACTCTCAATACAGAGAATACTTCCGTACTTTTGTTCATGCAGGTAAAAATATTGCTTTTGATCATTTTAATATAAAAAAAATTTTTAGAGAACATTACTAGCCTTTAAGTTATGTTTTAATTATTTTAAATAGTGTAAATTTTGCCCATGTAGAATCAAGAGATTGCTGTATACCACTTCTTGTGATTGTGCTAGACCAGTGATTCTTTAACTTGAGCGTGCATCAGAATCCCCTGTAGGGCTTGTGAAAACACAGAGAGCTGGGCACACCTGCAGAGTTTCTGACTTGCAGGTCAGGGGGTGGGGCCCAAGAATTTGCATTTCTAACAAGTTCCTGCTGGGCTGGGACCGCGCTTTGAGAATCACTGCTTTGGAAGGGTAATACTGGAAGGTTCTCTGAGCTTTCTTATTAAAATTAATTCATTGTCTTTGGGAGCAATGATTTATTTACCAAAAAACTAGCATGAATGCGTTCTAGCAGATTTTTCAGAGTAGACTTTGCAAAGCTGTGATAAGTGTGACTGAGACGTGGACCGCAGTGGGTTGGAATGAGTGTGAGGATTCCGGATACTTATGACAGGTTGCCGAGACAGTGTGGGCACAGTAGGAAAATGGTAGGATTCCACCCGCATTCTTCTGATCTCTAAAAAATGTTTTTAAAAGTAACGAATGTCTAGTATTCCACTTACCATATTATGCTCATGACAAAAACAGTAGTAACAACAGTCAACAAGTAACCTACCCTCCTACTAAAGTATCCTGCACTACCAGGAGTCTCAGACTTAACACACTCAAACGTAGACCTTGATCTTGCTCCTCAAACCAGCTTCAACTTTGCTCATTCCTTTGTCTAGAAAACGGCCTCAAGTTGCTCCCCGCAAAACTTTGGTGTCATTCTTGATTCTTCTCTTTCAACCCACATATCTAATCCATTGCTGAGTCCTGTCAATTATTCCTCCAAAGTCTCCTTTGAATCCACCACGTCTTTCCATCTCTACTGACTTCTCTCCTAGTCTAAACCCCCATCGGCTCTGACCTAAACTACATTAGTAGCCTCCTTTTCTGTTCTTCTAGCTCCCACATTGTTCCTTCAAATCCATTCTCCACATAGCAGCCAAAGTGATTGTCTTAAAATGTAAATCACAGCTTGTCATTACTCTGCTCCCCCCGCAAACCCCACAATGGCTTGTCATTGCATCAACATCGAAACCCAGGGTTCTTGGCTGACTTTCCAGGCTCTTCCTGCATTATTCTTGGCCCTTGCTTTTTAAAATAGACTTAATTTTTAGAGCAATTTTAGGTTCACAGCAAAATTTAGTGGAAGGTAGAGTTTTCCATATACCTCCCTGCCCCCACATGTGCACAGCCTCCCCCACTATCAACATTTGCTATCAGAGTGGTACAGTTGTTACAACTGATGAACCTATATTAGTACATCATTATCACCCCAAATCCATAGTTTACATTAGGGTTTACTCTTGGTCTTGTACGTTCTATGGATTTGGACAAACAGATAACGACATGTATCCACCATTATAGAATTATACAGACCTACAAATCCTCTATTCTCTGCCTATTCATTTCTCTCTTCTCCCAACCCCTGGCGACCACTGATCTTTTCACTGTCTCCATAGTTTTACCTTTTCCAGAATGTCATATAGTTGGAATCATACAGTAGGTAGCCTTTTCAGGTTGGCTTCTTTCACTTAGTGATATGCATTTAAGTTTCCTCCATGTCTTCTCATGGCTTGATGGTCATTTCATTTTTAGTGCTGAGTAATATTCCATAGTGTGGATGTACCACAATTAACTTGTTCATTCACCTGCTGAAGGATACCTTGGTTGCTTCCAACTTTGGGCAATTAGGAATAGCACTGCTATAAACATTGCGTGCAGGTTTTTGTGTGGACATAAGTTTTCAGCACATCTGGGCAAATACCAAGGAGTGTGCTTGCTGTAACATATGGTAAGGGAATGTTTAGTGTTGTAAGAAACTGCCAAACCATCTTCCAAAGTGGCTGTACCATTTTGCATTCCCATCAGCAACGAATGAGAGTTCCAGTTGCTCCTCATTCTTGCCAACATCTGGATTTGGGCTATTCTAATAGATATGTAGTAATATTTTGTTGGGCAAGGTTTCTAGTCAGATGTTTTTCCCATTATTAAATTGTATTATTTATTTTCTTGTTGAGTGTTAAGAGTTCTTTCTATATTTTGAATAACAGTCCTTTATCAGATATGTCTTTTGCAAATATTTTCTCCCATTCTGTGGCTTGTCTTCTTATTCTCCTGAGGTGTCTGTTGCAGAGCAGAAGTTTTTTTATTCTAAAACAATTTAGCATGCCAATTATTATTATTATTTTTTTTCCTTTTTGTCTTTTTTCGTGTCCGGCAACGGATCGCAACCCTCAGTGTCGCGCCCGTACCGGACCGGGACCGGCAACGGGATCGCAACCCTCGGTGTTGCTCCCGCACCTCGCTCAGCCAGTGAGCGGCCGGTCTGTACGTGGGATCCGAACCCTCGGCGGGAGCGCCACCGCGCTTCCCAAGCGGCGCACTGTAGCAGTGTGCCACCGGGCCGGCCCAAGCATGCCAATTATTATTTCCTCCAGGGATTGTGCCTTTGGTATTGTGTCTAAAAAGACCATACACATGGTCACCTAGGTTTTCTTCTATGTCATCTGCTAGAAGTTTTACAATTTTGCATTTTATGCTTAGATCTATGATCCATTTTGAGTTAACTTTTATGAAGGATGTAAGTCTCTGTCTAGATTGATTCTTTTGCATGTAGATGTCCAGTTATTCAAGCACCATGTTTTGAAAAGACTGTCTTTTCTCCATTGCATTGCCTTTGCAACTTTGTCAAAGATCACTTGACTATAATGATGTGAGTTTATTTCTAGGCTGTCTGTTCTGGTCTATTGATTGGTGGGTCTATTTTTTTGCCAATACCATACAGCCTTGATTACTGTAGCTTTACAGTACATCTGAAAGTTGGATAGTGTCAGTCTTCAAACTTTATTCTTCTTTAATATTGTGTTGGCTTTTCTGGGGGTTTTGCCCCTCCATATAAACTGTAGAAGTAGCTTGTCAATATCTATAAAATAACTTGCTGGGATCAGGTTAGGAAGAACTGACATCTTGACAATATTGAGTCTTCCTATTCATGAATATGAACTGTCTCTCCATTTATTTAGTTCATCTTCAATTTCTTTCATTGGAGTGTTGTAGTTTTCCTCATCCAAGTCTTGTACATATTTTTGTTAGATTTATACCTAAGTATTTCCTTTTTGGGGTGCTAATGTAAATGGTATTGAATTTTAAATTTTACTTGTTTATTTCTAGTATATAGGAGAGCAATCGAATTTTGTTTATTAACCTTGCATCTTGCAACCTTTATATAATCACTTCTTAGTTCCAGGAGGTTTTTATGGTCAATTCTTTCAGATTTTCTACATAGACAATCACATCATTTGTGAACTAAGACAGTTTTGTTTCTTCCTTACCAATCAGTATAAGTTTTCTTTCCCTTTCTTGTTTTATTGCAGTAGCTAGGACTTCTAGGAAGATGTTGAAAAGCAGTGATAAGAAGGGACATCTTTGCTTTGTTTCTGATCTTAGCAGGAAAGCATCTACTTTCTCACCATTAAGTATGATGTTAACTATAGGTTTTTTGGTAAATATTTGTTGTCAAGTTGACAAAATTCCCCTCTATTTCTAGTTTGTTGAGAGTTTTTATCATGAATGGGTGTTAGATTTTGTCAAATGCTTTTTCTGCATCTATTGATATGATCATATGATTTTTTTTTTCTTTAGCCTGTTGTTGCAATGGATTACATTAATTGATTTTTAAATGTTGAACCAGCTTTGTATACCTGGGTTAAATCCCATTGGGTTGTAGTGTATAATTCTCTATATACATTGTTGATTTTGATTTGCTAATATTTTGCTGGGGACTTTTGCCTCTGTGTTCATGAAAGAACAAGTTAGGAAGTATTCCCTCTGCTTCTACCTTCTGAAAGAGATTGTAGAGAATTGGTGAAATTTCTTCCATAAGTATTTGGTTGAATTCACCAGCGAACCTATCTGGGCTTGGTACTTTCTCTTTTGGAAGATTATTAGTTATCGATCCCATTTCTTTAATAGATACAGTCCTACTCAGATTGTGTTTCTTCTTGTATGACTTTTTGCAGATTGTTTCTTTCAAGGGATGGTTCCGTTTCATCTAGGTTATCAGATTTGTGGGCATAGAGTTATTCATAATATTCCTTTATTATCCTTTTAACACACATGGGATCTGATGTGTAGTGATGTCTCCACTTTCATTTCTGATATTAATATTTTGTGTCTTCTCACTTTTTTCTTAGCCTAGCTAGAGACCAACTAATAAAATATCAATTTTATTGATCTTTTCAAAAACCAACTTTCGGTTTCATTAGTTTTCTCTATTGATTTCCCATTTTCAATTTCATGATGATGTGATGATGGCTTTGGGTCAAGGTCACGGACCTGTTTGGTGGCTTCCTGTGACAAGAGGCTGTGACCAGAACTGTGTAGACTTCAGATATAGAGAGAACTCCATTCAGATTCTGTTTCTGCAATTAATTCAACTAATTGGTTGAAGACCCCTTGGCTACTTTCTTACCATCTCTGAGCTGTGACCTTTTCAATATATAAAAGGGAGTTATTATCCTCCTTGTAGGTCCTGTTTTAAATTCATTCTCTTGCAAGCAACATTCCAAGTGCCCAGCACAGTAGCTAGCACACAAGAGGCCTTCAGTCAACACTAGTTGACTTTTCCTTGCTTCCTTTCCTTGCTCCTTTTTCTTTGCTTCCAAACACCAGCCACCACCCCCTTCTCTTAATCATTGTCTAAGTTCAGTTGCACAGTTTGCTCCAGTAGTTTCCAGGGCTTGAAGGGGCTTGCAGAATAAAGGTGGTTTTCAATGC